CCTATTTTTTTTTTCTCAAAATCATGTTGGTGGAACGAACTGAGGCAGTAGAGTGCATAGTGCGCATTATATAGCTCACCCTCAGAACTTTTGGAAATGGTGAGAAGAGGGTTAGAAGGGGATGCACATTCGCTCTCACAGGCACTACTTAGAGAGTGTTCTGCCATTAAACACTATCAAGCAACTCGGTATCTACAAATACATGTAAAAGGCATGTCTCATCCCCTGTGATCCAGTCCCAGCATCTGGCAGCAAGAGCATTAGGATAACTCAATAGTTGCCCTGTTATGTTCATTCGTTCTGAAGTACCTGGCAGTGTCCACTATCACAAGACAGGATATTGAACTAGATGGACTATTGGTCTGTTGCAGTATGGCCATTCTTACATTGTGTTAAGTAGCCTTCATTTCTTGCTTGAATAAATAGATTGTTTTATTTAAAGATTAAACTGAAATGTTTTGGAAACGTCCTGCAGCACCTTAGAGACTGACAAAAATGTAGATAGTATATGAGCTTTCATTTGTTTTAGACAAATACACCTACCTTTCTGAGACTTGAAATGTTTTGAAAAAAATCCAAAATTGATGATAAAATGACCTGAAATTGACACACACTTTTTTTAAAGAAAGAGATCAAATGAAAGGTGTTTTTTTTTTTTTACCTTGTTAGTCCTAGATTGAAGAATTCAGATTCATATATGTTGCCATTAGCTGTTATAGGGATTTTAAAAGATTTTTTTTTAAAGCAGATCAAGGGTCTCTGTTTCATATCCAAGTCTAGAAATGCCTACAACTACAAGGGGACATATAGAACTCCAAGAGCTTGAACTCAAGTCTTGACAAGCAAGTGGGGAGAGATTGCAAGCACTGCTGGTTTAAAATGCATTTATTTGTAGTGTTTGACTGTGTCCATGTATCCTGCCAGAGATTAAAGATCACAAACAACAAACCAGGTAGTGCTGGAACTCAGCGGTAGACTCGTCTGGCAGAATATCCGTTTCTGCAGAATATTCACTTTTAAATTTTCTTAAGTTTTGAATACTTAACACAGTGATGGAAATGTACTAAACATGAACTAATGCAGTTAGTGTCTTAATGAGTCTGTAAACAAGCAAATAAATGTTACTTGTTTCAGTATTCGTTATTGTTGAAGAGACAAGTAGTGGAGGTAATATCTTTTAATGGACTGATTTCTGTTGATGAGAGAGACAAACTTTCAAGCCACACAGAGCTCTTGAACTGTTATATTGGTAAGCATTTTAGCAAAAAAATTCAGGTACTGTGGATTCGGGGTGTAAAATCCCAGTTAGTGACTTAAGTGGGATCCTGATCTGGGGACCACTCCAACCTGCTTGGATCAGCTCCCTGCCCATAGGGCTCCCATGGTTGGGCTGAGACTGCTGTGGCTCCCAGCCCAGCCCAGAGCAGCCCCTGTCTGTGCAGCACTCTGGCTCCCTGTGGACGAGGGCTGCTCTGGACAAGAGCCGCCTCTCTCCATGGCGGATTACCTGCTTCAGTCCCCTTTGCCCTCTGTTACCGGTGAACTGGTACGCAATACCCATTTTGGGTGATGCTTACTGGGTAAAGGGTTAAGCTTTCACATCTTTACTGTAGATAGAGCTTGATTTAGAGTACCATGAGATTTTTTTTTTTTAGACTCAATCTTAAAAGAAAATACAGAGAAAACATTTCAGTTCATCTTTATTTTTGTTTCAAAATTCATCTGGTTTATTTATTACAAAGCTACTATTTAATTGGTAATAAAGAACATTATTCCTATCTTTTTTTAAAAAAAAACAAAGCCCCCAACCCAATTTTTCATTTGCAAAGTAGCATTGGTTTCTTAGTATTTGTGATACCCAAATAAATACAATATATTTTTTAAATAACGTAAGTCAGTGCTGGTAGAGGTATGAAGAGGGGGTAAATGTGAAGGGTATAATTTTGTAATCAGTATATTTGAATTGTACATAGACAACTATTTTTTTCTGATGTGAATTGATGTGGTTTTCAGACTATGCATACAAGAAACTGTAATGTACATTGGTTTCAGTCATGTTACTAAATGTGATCTAACACACTACATATTTTTCAAGCTTTGTTGATTTAAGGTTTGCAGCAGTCTTTCAGTCATGTGGAATTGTTCCTGTTCTTTTGCCCTCGCTTTTATTACTTTATATATTTTAATTACATTTTGTATTTTGCTTCTCAGGATAGAATTTGAAAATCTAAAACACTTAGCTTCTCTAGTAGGGATGATTTGATTTTTCTAATTGATACCACTTTTTTTAATTAGATTTTCTCCTCAGTTATGCATCAGTTATTGCCATTGAAACTGTTGGGAATTTAACGTGCGTACGAGGACACGTTTTTGGCTTTCATGTTTGAGTGGAGAACATGTCAGTGCATTTTTTACTTTCTGGACAGTTCACATTTAAAATGTCATAAATATTAGACATTCTAAAAAAGTTAGAGAAAGGTTGAGGTGCTCTGTGCACATATATGCACATAATTCTGCAGTTCCATAACAAAGCAAACGATTTTTCCACATTGCATTTTTATATTATTTTAACATACATCTGATCAGCTCTGTCCTTGTTGTTCAGCAAGTGCCTCTACTTTGGACTGCATAACTGGATTATATACATTTGTGTTCTCTAGAATCCAGTAATAACACAATCTTGAATTTAGTACAGGATATCAGTATAATGGCACAACAGAATTATGTTTAGCATTTATATTCAAAATATTCCTTTAGACAGACAAACAGGCTGTTTACAAAAATTAAAAGTAGGTAGGCTATAATCTTAGATTTTTTTAAATAGTTTTTTTTCAGCAGGGAAACTTGCTAATTGCTTTTAAAATTAAAATTGAAAGAAAACCTCTTGTGATTTTAAAGACAGTCTTCCCATACTTTATGAAAATTCAGAAAAAAATCAGTGAAATCCTCAGGGTTTGTTTTAAAGCTATTCAGATTGAAAAGTCCCATTGTATTTCTGATAGCCAGAAGATTTGTTTTTGTTTGCAAATATATTAACTCTATGTAACTTTTTAACAAGCAGAAATACTAGGCTGGTGAGCATTGCACATATTTAGAAATTCCCTGCAGTACTGATATTGAAAACATTAGACTTAGCAGTAGTTAAGCTCTGAAAATTCTTGGTTCATTAATCAGTATATCTCTCACAGACCAGATGAATAACAGCACATCTGAGGAACACCAAGTTAAAACCAGTTATTGCTGTCAGAGAAAACTTGGTAACAGTTATGTAACAGTTGGCAGAAGCTACAAGTTCCAAGAGATTCAAAATATTCTGGATCATTCTTGTTTGGTGACTATGAATATTTGATATTCCATTGATTATTTAAAATAAGCACTTAAGAGTAAACCCCCTTAGTTTAGGTTCCAAAACATATAGCTTTATATTGCTCTGGAATGATTGACTCAGCTGTTCAGATTATAGGAACTGTTCTAAAATGTGTATAGCAAAGACCTTGAATAACAAAATGTGTCAGTAGTAGTAAAGACTACTTTACAAAACACACAATGTAGACTTTCCAATGGCATTCTGCTTTCTTGGTTGCACTCCATAGAATATTTATAAGGGGGAGCCAGAGGAGGATTAGAAACAGTAATCATTTATCTTTTAAAGGCTATGAACCGGTTCTCAAGAATGTCCAAGGCTTTTGTTTTATGCCATACTTGTTGTTTTTCCCAAAAAACTTTTTTTTGCCACTTTTACATTTTCCTTCAGTTTTTTCTCTAGTATCTCTTAACCCGCAGGTGATTCCTGAGGATTGGTAATACAAAGTTACTTCATATATTTTCCATTGTTCCAGAGTTTTATCTGTTTATGTATTTATCCATCTTGAAAAATGCATATGGAGAGATTAAAAGTGCAAACTGTTTAAACTGTTGATATATTTTAATTCTGCTTTTTTCAGTACTAATAACTAAATTTTAAGTTTAACCATTTTGGTTTTTCAGATATAAAAACCACGAGTGGTTTTTTCCATTTAGCAATAAAACAGTGATAAACTAGGATTCACAAGATTATTTATGAAACATTTCAAGGGCTTTGCACTTTCAGTAATAAACTTCCATTCTCTTAAATTTTAGTCCTGTCGTTTTTGTAATGCATTGAGCACACCAGTAGCCAAATTTATATACAGCTATCCTTTATTATATATACATAGTTAAAGCTTTTAAAGGAAAGAAAAAGGTGAGTATTTGGCTGCAAGAATTTGAACAGCTTGATTATCAAGTTACAGGTTTAATGTTGTTTTGAACCCATATATTCTAATATTAGTCTTGTTTGTACAACTTGAATAATTTAATAGAAAAAATGCAACTAGTAGTCTTAGAAATTCTCCAAATAAAACATCTGTTGGATTGATGTGTACTAGTAGCTGTTTGAGTAATTAACTATGCTGGTCTGTTTTCTTTTGAAGTGGTTTTACTTGGATATTCATTTTCTAGCTCTTAGTAGTGCTAACTATCAGTTCACTCTGTGAAATTGGGTGAAATCCTGGCTCTTTTAAAGTCAGTGGGAGCTTTGCCATTGACTTAAATAGAGCCTCAGTGTTACCCATTATGTGCAAGATACATTGATTACGTACACTAAATAATTTATTTTATGCTATCAGCAAATTTTCTATAACAATGTATATGTACTAAGTCAATAAGCTAATCTAAACTAAAATTTACAGATGTAGTAGAATAAAAAATTGATTAGAAAGTGTTTCAGAACAACTCAAACAAATGAATTGGTTAATGTCATGATTTTCCTCAGTTACTCTGGTCTAGAGTGGTAGAAGTTTTTAATGGTTATCAGATGCTATAGAAATGAGTTTGAGTTGTCAAATAACTCTTAGGATGGTATTATATACATAAATGTGTCAATCTCATGCAGAATTGTATATATGTACCACATCCACATGCAATTTGTTTGCAAATAATTCACGTATGGATTAGCAATTAAGCTTAAATAAAAAACTTACCAAAACAGATTTTGTTGCTGCTTTTTGCTTCTACAAGAGATTGAAAATCCAGAAGACAACTTGTTTTTTTTCTTCTTGTTATCAATGTTATTGTTACTCTGTAGTTCTAGTGAAAACTTTTTTGTCTTGCCCCATTAGATCCAAACTGTTTTAAGGAAA